AAATCTAGACCGCTTTCAATATTGATTTCAGCCAATCAAATTCGTGAATTCGGTAGTTCCCAGTCCTTGTGAGACACAGCCATATAATAAATAGTCTATTGCTATCAGAGCCTTTGAGCCATCTTGGATATAACCAACAAATGACTGATTGAAAAGATACCGAGACATTTTACAGTGGTGTATTGTCAAGCAAAACTAAAAACAAAATGTAAATCTATCGTTGTGTTATTGACACTTTCCAAAAACGTAAAATAATCTCATTACAACCAAAGTGTTACCTGTAACCCGGTGGATATTGCATCCACAGCAACACCAGGAGACTGAGGCCACAGACCATCTACTATCTGATGAGGTAAAAAAGTACATAAAATGGAACAAGACACGTAGGCATTGCGCTAATAACGAAGAAGAGGATTTCAGTCTGTCGTACAGACATTTTTAACAGTTTAGGTTGATTACAAAATTTAAGGAGTTTCGGTGTAACGCTTAACTTCAAATGTTGAATTTAGCCAAAAGTCCACGTTGGCAAAAATTAATTGAGAAATCAGAGTTATGTAATTCCACTATCATTATACATAATGATGACCACAAAAACCGTACTTTTCCTTCAATTACCCTGTCGTGCCGAGCGGTAAAGCTGCAAATCATTGCAGCTTCAACTCTCACGTGAGATTGATTGCTAGACTCAATCTACAGTTACCTTGGTTACGGCCTGATGTAACTGGAACAAGCTATTCACGATGGCAGCGTTCTTCTGCTGAGCTTGAGTCACGTGGTCGTATAACTGATTTCCTTCGAGACCAGCCACCAGCTGTGCAGAGAAATAAACGCAGTTGGCAGTTGTTGTCAACAAATCACAACACCTTTCCTCAAATATAATATTCTCTACTGGAAAAAGAGCAGTTCGCCAAAAACTGTTTTAAAACAACTCGGGAAAATGTGTATTAGTAACCGGTGTGAAAATCAAGAATGGAACAAGTAACATAAGCCACAGTCACACAGAGGGCAAAAACGCGGGAAAAATGTAACCAATGACAAGGGTGGGAACACATGCGTCCAGAAGCAAAAGCACGACAATAACGACCGAGAAAAAGGCGCGAAAATATGTATCCAGGTCCAAGGGTGGGAAATATGCAATAAGCAGAGTCAGCGAGTAAACGTATAACCAGGAAAAAAAAATGGAAAAAACGGGAAAACAAGAAGCGAATAACGAAGGAGGAATACCTTCAGCATGCAAACAGTAGCAAGAGTTTGAAAAACTGCATACAAAGATAAAATAACCAAAATTCCTACTTTAACTGGAAGGACGGATATCCTTTGCAGACCTACAAAACTCAGTTTTAAGAAAGACTTCTTTTAAAAATATTTTTCGACCCTTATGACGGCCATGAAATATCTAAGTCAACCCTTTCCATACAAACGACCACTGACGTCGAAATCAACTGTAATGCAGACTAAAAACTTGCTCGTTTGTAAGCGTTTAGAAACGAGCAAGTTTTAAGTTAATTGAGGCATATTTTCTTTTATTTTCGCGCGTGCCTTGGGGGAAAATTTTCTCTCAGTTTACTGCAAGGAGCAAGTATCGGTTGTGATGAGACAAAAAAGTTTCAATAACCTTAACAGCATATCAAAACCACAAGTAATAATCACAGCCAATGAAAAACAATAGCCTCAAATAGTGTGTTAGATGAAACGAGTGCAGCTCAAGAAGAAATACAACAAACGGAGGATCTTAGGCAACGAACGAAATACAAAGCGAAACCTTACCAACAAGGACCAAAAAAACTCAGAACGAGTACTTTTTCTTAAAAAAGGATTTTAAATGTTTGTTTTATCGTGTTAAATTTGCAAAGTTAACGCTTCCCGTCTTATGGACACCTCATTTCTTGTATCCACTTAAGTAACGATGAGAAACAACGAAAACAATCGCAAAAAGTTTTTGTAAGAATGGACCTCTTAAGTTTGTATGTTTTGTTTACATATTTTAGGTCACGTGATAATACTCTAAAGAACTGTTTCTTTCTAATTTCACGTGCATACCTGCGCAAAACTTACAAAAGGATAGAGCTGAAAAAGCCCTTGAGACCTAAAATAGTCATACAAAACTTACAATCCAAAGTACGAGGTATATTCCCAATTCAAAGTTACAACAGTCGTAGCGAAAATTTGCCAACATTGTCCAAAAAATCATGGCAGGTAAAGATTAATTGATGAGCAAATCGTCAACAATTTTATAAAACATGCGTAAATCATTCGGATCTCATTACGAATGAGAATTTGATGATATAGTAAAACGGAGTGTAATAGCATACACTTGATAAAGATGACAGAAGTAAGCAACATCAGATTAAAAAAAAACCTAATATTTTAATTGACCGGGCACGTAAGTTGGAACAAAAATAATCGGATCTCAACTATCGACATCTACAAGCACCTGTCATTAGGTTCTCTTAAATTGTCATTTCAGTTTAAAACGTACAACTCTACAGTAGATTTTCACTGAAAAAAGGGTTCATTCGTGGCACGACCGAGGTTTCAATGATTCGCGTCATGAAGAACCAGTCATTTTACACCCGAGATTTTGCAACAAATAACAGTCTGCCTCGTTACAAAAAGGTAACCAATATAAATCTTTTAAAACGAAGCAATTAAGGTAGATTTACACAAGGCAAATGGGAAGACGCTGTTATATAGACAAAACTCCAGCAAATCTCTAAATAAACAAACGTTCAACATCGAGAATTGCACGCATTTCGGTGATTATAGACATGAACGAATTTTCAGACATTCGTGCACGGCTTAAATGTTCATCAGTGTAGCTTTACTGAGCAGCTGGTCTAATCGACATTTTCATGATAAAAGGATTTAAGTAAGACCCGTTACGGTTTCATAATAAAACTATTTTCCTTTATATTTTTTTAAATCTTTATAATGAGAAAACAAGCTGAAGCTTCTCTCCTCCGATAAGTTTGTGATAGCCAACGAAGAATGAAAGCTTGAAAAGCTTGAAAAGTTGAAGAGTTAAAAAAAAAAAAAAGAAACATCCACAGTTACAGCTGAACTGCGCAAGTTATAACATAGTTAATAACTTGCGCAATTATTAACTATGGTTATAATCATGACTGAATTACCCAACGTACACCTGGACCAAATTCACATGGAAATCAAAAAGAGCTAAACAACCGCAACAAACTCGACGTTAAAGAGAATTACAAGAAACAATTCACAATAAAAAGACTCAAGAGTTGTGTGATTTGGGGTTTGCAATATCTCCTGCTATCGGCGTTGGTTTCGTATTGTGACACCACTACCCTGCAAATTTTTTTCAAATAATTTCTTAGGATTTCCAAAAGACACTCGTCGAGCTACCACAAGGGAATAATTTGAATATATCAACAAAGTTGAAATGGTAAATTGGCCAGCGCTACGGTTATAAAAGCTGACGTTTCGAGCGTTAGCCCTACGTCGGAGCGAATAGAGGAATTGTGGGTTGTGTGTGCTTTTAAAGGCAGAAAATGGAGCTACGTGATTGGTGGGAAGATGAGTATAAGGGAAGATGAATATAAGAGGAGGGTTTTCTGAAATTCGTCCTCCACAAAGGACTTCAGATACTGCTCCAAATTGAGTACAAAAACGCGACCGCAAAAAATTTCAATAAAATTACTACTTCTGTTCAGATGCAAAATACGTGAGCTAGAGATCAACAGCCATTCAGTCACTAAAATATTCCCGACTATTGCTCAACTTTCGCATCATGGTGTGGTCTATCTCCTGTCAACACGAGAGGTGGTATAGGTGGTTTGCAACCAATCTCTAGAGACACAGGTAACAATGGTGAAAGGAACAAATGCTGGTGGACGAACAAAAAAAGCTAATGAGATATCTATTGTTTACGTCCACCAACATGGCGGCAATGACGTAACGTGCAAACCACCTGTATGCTTGTAAACTACTTACGCTTTTGAATGTGATGTTTTTGCAGAACAAATTGTAGTCTGGAGACCTTCCGACGACATTCTCCAACTTTCATCCAAACTAGTGAACGGAAATGGAAATAAAAAGGAAGACAAGAACACTTTTTCTTCGAGTTGCCATGTTAATAGTGTACCTCACATCGGGTGCAGCGATTTTTTCGGCACTAGAGCACGATAGGCAATCAACCGGTGCTCACTTTGCATCGAAAATCGATCAGTTAAAGGAGAATATGACGCAAAGATTTAACGAAACCATGGATGTTCTCGAGCAATATGTTGAGGAGCTTCGTTTTCTGTTTGAAAAGGCGCACAGATGCAAATACAGCCACAACGACTGGAGTTATTATCAGTCGCTGTACTTTGTTGGAAGCGTAACAACTACAATTGGTAAGAAGCGAAGTTTTGTAAATTTTACCCTTCAACGTCTGAGGGTGACTGGGTTCTAATTTCACCTTACATTATCACCCTTGGATCAACTGTAAAGGTCGTGAGAATATGGGAAATAATCACCAATTTGAGAAGTTCCCGATTGTCAAACAAATTATCCTGGTTAGTAACCTAAGAAATAGAAAGACAAAAGCGTTGAGAACATAAATCTCGATGTTAAGGTGTTAAGGGTGAAAAATCTTCAGAACAATAGCGTTGACTTGTAAACAAAGCACTGTAGCTTTCCCACACGGTAGCTTTCATTTAGATAGTCTAAGAGTGGGATTTTATCCACGGACTGATGACCTAAGATCGAACCAATGAAAACAGAACCACATAGACGTTGTATTCAGTAATTTTCATTTGAATGGTCACAGTCAAGAGTTTCATTCATGAACTTAAAAGTTAGAAGCACATATAACTGATAACTTCGAAAGTAAAGCTTAGTAGCAACGGGTATGATGAGAATATCAACACACAAGGGTCTCACTCACAAATTGAAATTAAACAAACCACCTTGCAGAGGATAATTTACATTAACTAATGCTCAGCAGCTTTCATTAGAATGATCACAAAGATCGCAAGACTGTCATTTTTTTTTTTTTTTCAGGATATGGACACCTAGCACCCAAAACACAAGGAGGTCGGCTGTTTCTAATCTTTTTCGCCCTTTTTGGCATTCCACTGAATCTTTTAACCCTACAATCCATTGGTGAACACATTAACTATGGCATTCATTTGCTGATCAAATACTTCGAAAAAGCTGCGTTCAAGCGAGAGTTACCAACACACGAACACATCAAATGCTTCGCCATAAACGCCCTTCTCATTACACTCTGGATTCCTCTTGGAGGTATCATGTATTACTATTCTGAACGAGAATTTGGCTGGACTTACCTAGACTGCGTTTACTATTGTTTTGTCGCGCTAAGCACGATTGGCTTCGGGGATCTGGTACCGAATGAAGGCAAAGAGCCAGACTCGTCTTACGAACGAGGCATGTGGATAGTGCGTGTGATGTACTTGGCCCTAGGCCTCTCGCTGTTATCAAGTGTTTTCACTTCCGTGCTGAGCGCAGCAAAGGAAATTCAAGGTGTAATACCATGTAAACGAGGTGAGATCTAGAGAAATTTAGCGCACTCGGTAAAATAGTAAAAGCTCCTTTCCCGGTAAAGTAGATTTTGTGGGTGACTAACATTGTCATTAAAATCTGAGGAAGGAAAACATCAAGCAATACGAAAAGCGTTGCTATTTACACTTAACCATAGATACGAAGAACGTGATTGGTGTCAATGCCTTGTTCGTGTTTCGCGTTTAATAGTCGCGTTGTCATCAAAACTGTCACGTTTTTAGGCGAACAGAGGTAACAAAAAAAGCACATACGTCGACTGGTTACGATACTGGCCATGAAAATTCACAAACCTATAAACAGATAAACCACAACTTACACTAAATTTAACATCACATGTAAAATTGCAAAACGCCTTAATGATAAAGATAAAGAAGAACAGGGTTCTTCAGCGGGAAAGAGAAGCCGAAAACGGACTGTACGAGTTAAAAACTACAGGAACTATCTATCACTCCATTTATGGTCACGCTCTACATTTTAATTTTCAGTTTCAAGATATTTATAACAAAGCCATATCACGCAGAAGTCAAACTACGTTTTTCCCACTGTAGCGCTCTGTGACATGTAATATAACTTCGGGTTATAGAGAAATTTTCCCCTTTGGTATTTTCGTAACGACAACCTTTACCTTTACGAAAATATCAAAGGTTTCTTCTCAACTCAACTTTTTCTTTTCTTCAGACAAGCGGTGTAGGCGTCCAACTTATATCTGATTCTACTCTGTCTTCCTTCTCAATCTCAGGTCAGTGGTGAAGGGCCCTCTTAATTTTCTCTTTATAACCACTGCGATAGACCTCTTAAACAGTATTTCGGAGAATTTGGTGTAAAATCTGACGATACTTCGTAACTAGCGGATTCCCTATTCTTACGACTTCTTATAATCTATAACCTACACGGTTGTCATTTTTGATAAGTAAGGGTTGATACACTAAAGTTTTGAAACAAAAGCAGAGACAGGGGTTGGGAGCGGGGAGCGGGGAGCGGGGAGGGAGGGTGGGGAGAAGGTGACCGGCATTCCGTCCGGGAGGAGTAACACTTCTCCCCAGTCGCTACACGCCACAGAAACCAAGAAAGGTTCCGACTGGTAAGATTTGACCCGTTCAATTAAGGAAGAATTTAAAACTTTAAAAGTTGCAAACAAAACCTAAAGCCTTAGCAAATATGTCTGTAAGATATTGAGAAGTTCCTTTCACGTGGTAAGGTGATTTTTTTTCTTAATCAAATTTCTGGATCAACCTTTTAACCCCTAAGAATGACCAGCATCTAATTTCTCCTTACAATATCACCCCTCAATCAAACATTAAGGTCAGGAGAATAAAGTAACTGATCACCAACTTAAGATACTCTTGATTGTTAAAAGAATTCTACTTGTCAGCGCTTTTGGAAAGGTACGGAAAAAAGTATGGAGAAAATGCATACTGATATTAGGTTGTTAGGGGTTCCGTCTTAAAGCTACGAAACTATAAGGTAGTGAACAGTATTTCAAAGCGCTACTGTGTTTTGAACAGAAATTTTAGATATCGCATATAGTTGGCACCCGACATATGAAAGGCATGACAAACTAATTCAAGGACAATATTTTAAAGGAAACAATACGTGCAGATGTGAGGGCCATTTTTGCTAACTATAGACACTAACAAACCTAACTGAATCTTCAGGAACATATCAGCTGAATACAACAAAGTCGCTCACAGAACTGCGACAGATTTTCAAATTTTCAAAGGACTATTCTTCAACTGCAGGGACGGAAAATCAACCATCGCCAAAACTTTGTAGACATTTCAAGTTCGAGAGAGAAAGGCCGTCTACAAAGTCCTACTGCAATTCTACCATAAGTACAAGCGTCGAAGAACTGAATTGCCCTCACAACTGCGTCAGAGAAGAACGCCCGGATACAGTTGAACATAGAAACGAAACTAAAACTAAGTCGCGTGAAGATGGATCCAGCAAAGAAAATGATAATAAATTAGAGACGAAAACAAAAAGTGAAGATATGGAATAGAAAAAAAAAATGAGATAATGAAGACTAGACCTACTAGGCGGGTGTAAAGCACTTCCACTTAAATATTAGACATGTTTTTAAATTAATTGAGAAGAATTAAATTTGATTTAAAAATCTTTTGATTTGGTATTGTGAATTGTCGTATATTCTTTTATGTTTCTCTCGAAGTAATGGTTTGCTTAGTCGACTATACCGGGCTTTCATTAAGCTCGATCCTGATTCACATTAAAGACAATCCAGTATTAAGCGAACAAAGCAATTTTCAAAAGTGTGTCGAAAGTAATTCAGGATTTCTTTGGTTTTACTCGACTTTCCATCTGGAAACTCGATTTTTCTCTTATATTACTAGACGTTGGTCTGTTAAAATACGCGCTACTTTCTCAACCAATCAGATTCAAGACTAAAAGCAAACGCGACTTGGTCGTTCACGTTTTTTCCGCGCTTCTCTCTGTTTGCTCGTATTTACTTTGATTATCAATAGCTCCTTGTAAAATATTTTTCTTTGTTCTGAGTGGCTGTTGGGATTAACTTGGTTTTATTTTACGATCGTCAATCGAAATGCGCCTTAAAGGAGCAGTATCCGTCTTTTGCAGGGGGGGGGGGAGGGTTGCACGATTTCTCCAAAGAAAGACGTCCAAAGAGGAGATTTATAGAGTTGTTACTTCTCTGTTCGAAACAAATTATTGATTATAAAGGAGGAGCCTGAGTTACTACGCTCATATTCTACAGTAAACAATGTCTAAACGACAGTATCTCTAAATAAGAGCAATTTTCAATTAGGTCATTCGAGATTGCATCGGTTTTGCTTAGCTTCACTGTAATTGGTCCAGAAAACTCGTGCCACTCTCTCAACCAATCAGATGCAAAATTCAAACCAATCGCGACTTGGTTCCCCGCGTTTTCCCGCGCTTTCGGCAAATTGGTTGTTTTTACTCTGAGTTCTCTTTGGCATTTCAGGATGTTTCCTCTCTTCTAATGGCTACACTCAATCGAAATGCGTTCTAAAAGCTAAGGCAAGGTTGTAATGAAAAAAGTAGATATCAAATCAAGTCTCTCACCAGTTCTTCGCATTTTGCCGTGTACAGCTGCACTGTTTTGGCGACATTTCTGGCTACAGTTATTGTGAGTCCCACATCTACACTGGCCACACTCAGTTCACTAGAATGATCCAAAAAAGCATTCTGGTTAAAATTATTTCAACTGAGGATGATTTAAATTTTTCCCTTAAAAAAAAAAAAAAAGAACTATCATAATGATAATTTTTCTTGAGAAAGAGAAAAAACAGATTAATCTAGTTTCAAATAAATTCGACCTCTTCTTTGAGGAATGTTGTTACAAGCAGCACTCAAACTGCACAGACATCGGCATATACGAAACGTATTCCACAAAAGAATCCTGGGTTTCTTACCTTGAAATCGTCTTGGCGATACTGGCCAACTCCTCCCTGGAAGGAGGATTCCGTGCACCAGATGGGAACACCAAGTTAATTGGGTCGAGTAATCTGGATAAAGATCTCGACAAGTAGGCATTTTCAAATGGGGCCAGGCTGTTCTTCAAGGCTTGCTCTGGACTGCGAAAAAACAATTTCAGAGTGGTTAAGAAAACAATTTAGCTTAATGGCTTGACAGTTAATATAAAGTGCTTTTGAACTGCGCATTTTGGTTTGAAATAGAGTTGGCATTTAAAAGGAGTATAGAATAAACCAGCACATTTAGCACGCTCAACATACCTTAGGCTAAACTGATCCCCAGCGCTTGGAAATAAACTAAATGAAGGCTCAATTTGCAGAGCAATGCCAGTAGTAGGAGCATTTGACGCACTACTAAACTGCTGTAACCGAGACCACAGATCATTGTAAAGCCGTAGTAGTTTGGGGTACTCTCCTTCAAATGCTTGCTTTAAAAAAGTGGAGGCTGAATAACAATAACATTTGATCGATGTTACATAGAGAATAATATATGAGCACGCTTCGCCATTCCATTCATCAACCTGACAGACTGAGGCCAGAGGCGAGTGGCGTGTCAGCAACTGATTAGCGATATGAAACACAGCTATGGTACTATTACACGAGTGCAATTATGGTTTTCTTTAGAGCTGAAAATCCTTGAAAACACCGCAGTGTATAAAATAAAATTGCACTATCTGTTTTAAACACGTCAATCAATTTCCCACATGATGTACTGACAGACAATGCTTTTGTATGCAATAAATGTACAGCTTTTTCTTGTTTTCTACGATAAAGCAAACGTATGCTATAAATGTACAGCTTTTTCTTATGTTTTCTACGATAACGCAAACGTCTTGCAGTGTTCTAGTTAAATGACTCTTGAAAGTAACTAACCTTGGGCAGCCTGTGCAAATTCTTCCGTCAAAATTAAAGTTACTGAATTCCAGAAGGAAGTGGTACAAGATTTCCCATCCTGGAGGGAAATGAGATGGTGAAGTTGCGTCAAGTTGGATTTCTCTAAATTTATTAAAAAGACTGGATGAAATACCTTCAACAATTCCTCCACAAAACAAACATGTGTTACAGGATCTCGTTTCTTTGCCAAAACCTTTTGAAGATGATGAACCTGGCACAAGACAGTAAAACAATTTTAAATATTGCATTTCCAACAGAATCAACCAAAATTTGTGAAAAAAAAACTGACCAAGCCGCATGAAATTGTGAAAGTTAATACACCGAATCGAAATATGGCATCCAATTTGAATTGCCACTGTTCTGGACTCATTAGCCTCGTCTTCACGTGGAAACACAAAAGGATTATCACATGTGGGAGGGGCTAGTGAGTCCAAAACAACGGCAATTCAAATTGGACGCCATACTTCGATTCGGTGTGTTATTCAGTAAAAGACACAAGCACACTCAGAAAAACAAGAACTCTGACTCAAACTTGCCACCTTCAAATTAGTACTTTGGATGTTCCACCAACCCATGCATGCAACCCATGCATTAACCCTTTAACTCCCAAGATCTGATTGTTAATTCTCCCCTCTAGCGGCTACAAATTTCCTTGTAAGCTAGTTATGAGAATTTGGTGTTAGATCAAGATAACCTATACTTGATAAGTTTGAGTATTCTCACTACCTATTTACTGGATAATGTATGAATATTATGAGGAGAAGTTACAATTTAATCACTTCTGGGAGTTAATGGTTAAGAGTCCTTATGAGGCTTTGGAGGCGCGGTGGTCGCATGGTTAGTGCGCTCGACTCCAGAGTGAGTGGTCCGTGTTTGAGCCCCGGCTGGGGACAATGTGTTGTGTCCTTTGGCAAGACACTTTACTCTCACAGTGGCTCTCTTCACCCAGGAGAATTTAATGCCAGGGGTAACCCTGTGATGGACTAGCTTTCCATCCAGGGGGGGGTAGAATTACTCCTAGCTGCTTCATGCTACAGAAACCGGAGTTAAGCACCGGCCCGATGGGCCCCATGGCTTGTAAGTAGGCTTTACCTTTACCTTTTTATGAGGCTTTAGAGGGAAATAGTAGATCCTATTTGGTAACTGGCACCATACTAAAATCCCTAATAACATAGAGGGCAAAATTACAGAATGCTGGTTGGTCAATGAAGAGGGTATTTTTTTTCTCAATTTTGCTTGTGAAGAGGGCAAAATTAACTTTCTTTGAAAAAGCACTAACTTTATATTTTCAAAGTTGACAGTTTGTCAGCAGACCTGGTTTTCAACGTCTTGGTATGTTCGTGCAAAAATAAAATTTCATTCAGCTCATTTCTGCATTTGTGGTGATTGATTCTTTGTCCACATTAAATAGCTTCCTGTGACTGATTACTCAAGAGTGCATTCAGAAATTCAGAATTTTTCCCTCTACTTCATTAACAAGTAATCGCAATGGGTCCTCGTAAAATAAGGATTAATATCACTTGTGTTTTCAGAAGTTGCTGAAATTGCCCTCATTGCTGCGTGACTCACCCAATTTCAGCAACTTCTGAAAACACGCATGATATTAATCCTTACTTTTACTCCGCCCCATGTGATTACCTATACTAATCATGCAAAGTTAACTCTACCTGGCCACAAGCTGAGTAGATTGAGTCCATAAGTTGCTCCAATCTGGTCCACAAAGTGGCTCTCCAAGCTGCTGTATTCCCTGGGGTAGGCATTGCGGCACGACCAGGACCTCCTGTTCCTTGTTTATTTGATATGAAAGCTAATAGTCAAACTGCTGACTGTTTTTTTTAGATTGAAACTACTTCTGGAACAAGATGGGATACAGTAGCCTCGTGGATGACTAATGAGCTCTGGATTCAGTGATCCACAGTAAAGCCATTATTTCTGATGAGGTCATATCATAATCTATTTCTAGAGGAGAACTCTTTTCAAAAAGTCTAAAGAGAAAGAACTTGAAGCAATTTTTGATCATCTTTACCTGCATTTGGTTGCATCTGTGAGAGAGTGTTAGGATCCAGAGCTTCTTTGACACTGTTTATCAGGTTTTCCCTCACCTTGTCAACCACTTCATTAACTTTGCTGACTAACGAACCCAGGTTGTAGAACACCTGCAGGGCTGTGGCTACTTGGGTTTGATTCTACAGAAAAAGGAGAGAGAAGAAATTGTGATTCATTAACAAATTGACCCCAAGAAGCAGTGATTAACTAGAGATAAGGTACAAATGGGTATTCTAGAATACTAGGGCCCTATATTTAAGGCCTAGATGGCCTCCTGTTCAAAAGAGAGATACACACAGCTTTGGGAAATTTTGAAGTAATAGCAGTGGCATTCTCCTGTATTTTAACCCTGTCACTCCCAAGATCTGATTCATAATTCTCCTTACTGTCTACTCTACAATTCTTATGATGTTGGTTTGGAGAATTTGGTATTAGATCAACCAATAATCCTCGCACTGATATTTTTTGTTGATTCTGGTCACTTGTCTGCTTGATATTGTCTTGATAGGGTAAGAGGAAATTCTGTTCAGGCAGGACTTGACACTAACTTTTCAACTTACTAGCCTAGTGGCTAGTGACAACTTAGATGTCACAACAATTTCAGTTTGTGTACTAGCCAAACTGGCCAGTGGAAATCAAAAGCTACTTGCCAAAACTGAATTTCTACTAGTCTGTGGCTAGTTGGCTATGATTAGTGTCAAGCCCGACAAGGGTTAAGGTATCTTCCAACTTCTGCTCATTTTTTGTCCCTACATTTCAATCAAATGAACAAATTTGAAAACAATTACATGAATATTAAGATAGAAACAACATGTGTTGAGACAACAAGGAGTTAACCAGTTCATTGTAATCAGCTATGAATACTCACTGCGGGAACCCCTGTACAAGTGATTAATGACTGGCTTCCCTAGCTAATTCCAATATATTATCCATGTGGCACCTTATTCTATTCACTACCTAACTTTGAAATTTATGAGTGTGGTTAGAAAGAAGAATTAATTGTGATCCCTTAACTACCAGGTTCATTTCTATTATGAAAAGTGTACCTGTGTTGTCATGCCCTGAGATAGCATTCTCTGTGCCTGATTTTCCACTTCCACTCTTGCCTTGGCAGCCACTTTTAAGTCATTTTCTATCACCTGAAAAGTAAAATGTTAGTTAACCCTTTAATCCTTGAGAGCGACTCACATCTAAATTTCTCTATGTACAGAACAGGGTGGAGAATATGCATACTGATGTCAGGGTGTAAAGGGTTAAATAAACAAAAACTCTTTAACACGAAAATAAGCACTAAGCATGAGTTAGCATTAAGCATGCGTTAGCATTAAGCATGAGTTAGCATTGCACACCAGTTTGCATTGCACATGAGTTTGCATTAAGCATGAGTTAGCATAAAGCATGAGTTTGCATTGCGCATGAGTTAGCATAAAGCATGAGTTAGCATTGCGCATGAGTCAGCATTGTGCATGAGTTACCATTGCGCATGAGTTAGCATTAAGCATGAGTTAGCATTAAGCATGAGTTAGCATAAAGCATGAGTTTGCATAAAGCATGAGTTTGCATTACGCATGAGTTAGCATTAAGCATGAGTTAGCATTAAGCATGAGTTTGCATTAAGCATGAGTTTGCATTGCACATGAGTTAGCATTAAGCATGAGTTAGCATTAAACATGAGTTAGCATTAAGCATGAGTTAGCAATAAGCATGAGTTAGCATTAAGCATCAGTTAGCATTAAGCATCAGTTAGCATAAAGCATGAGTTTGCATTGCACATGAGTTTGCATTAAGCATGAGTTTGCACTAAGCATGAGTTAGCATTAAGCATGAGTTAGCATTAAACATGAGTTAGCATTAAGCATGAGTTAGCAATAAGCATGAGTTAGCATTAAGCATGAGTTAGCATTAAGCATCAGTTAGCATAAAGCATGAGTTTGCATTGCACATGAGTTTGCATTAAGCATGAGTTTGCACTAAGCATGAGTTAGCATAAAGCATAAGTTAGCATTAAGCACGAGTTTGCATTGCACATGGGTTTGCATGAAGCATGAGTTTGCATTAAGCATGAGTTAGCAGTAAGCATGAGTTTGCATTAAGCATGAGTTTGCATTAAGCATGAGTTTGCAGTAAGCATGAGTTTGCATTAAGCATGAGTTTGCATTGCACATGAGTTAGCATTAAGCATGAGTTAGCATTAAT